TCTAAATTTTTTAGGGTAGGAGTGCTCACCTCCCCTATTTAAATTCTTAGAACGTATTATTATAATATTTTATTACGCTCTACCTGAGGTGTCGCGTTAAGCGTCTGCTTTTAACATACGAAAACCACGTCCGCTAAAGGACATGGCCAGCTGCAAGCAGTAGGAGGCAAAAGCAGGCAAAATCAAAAGTAAAGGCAAAGGCAAAGGTAAAACCTTTTGAAAATAGTGATGGTCCCCAAGGACCATCATACTCAAACAGACCATCACCTATTTAAAAGCATCTTTTCTCCGTTTTTTTTTTTTTTTTTTTGAAGTTTTATGATTGTTACACCAAGATTTTTCCAATCTTGGGGCCTGAAATCCGTGACTATAAAGCTGCCTGGTCAGAAGCAGGCTTCTGATGTCATAGCGAAAGCGGGTTCATCTGGGGTTACTACTCCTGGACTCGGGATGTAAGTGAGCAATTTTCTACTATTCTTGAAAGTGCATGGCTTCTTGGAGCCTGCGCATGCTCAGCCCTTCCATACGACCACTATTCAAATGTCAAGTGAGCCTTCCAAGAGACTTGGTGTACTGAAACAAACACCAACTTCTTTGGCTATGGTGAGAGCAGCATGTCCCTCTTGGAGTTGCACTTCATTGGTGGACTTTATATCTTGGGAGACCGCTATGAGGAATTTACTCCAGAGAATGAGATCATCTTCAGGGATGGTTCTTACTCTTAGCTTCGAAGGCCCAGTTGTTTAAGAATCATATTCAAAGAATACTTGAAACTGGCTATTACGAGCGGGAGTAAAGACATTCCCTTTCAAATCTGGATCAATCACTTCTTCGATATGGAGAAGGCTAAAGGGGAGCCAAAGAATCCCCTCTTCAATGGTTTGGAAACAGCTCCCCCTCGGATTGTAAGGATGCCTCGTTGTTCTGATGTTTGGGACGGTCCAATCTATTTGACGTCCTACATTGCTTTCTTCTTATGCCACTTTGCACTTCCGGACTCTAGAGGCCATGTGGTCAGGTTGAAATGCTTATAGGCTGCCTGTAATATGGCCTAAGGCCATAACTATGCTCTAGCCCAACCTATGTTGTGTTGTATCTACAACAGGCTAACCTCTAAAACAGACCTTGAAAACGTTCTGGGAGATTCCCGAACCCCCATCCATTATGTTTATAGGTGGCTTGGTGCCTATTTTTCGAGAACTTATAAATATTCTTTGACCTCCAGTCTCGACACCTTCCCCTTCTTGCTTCGCTTAATGGACTGCATGATAGTCTTACATTCATCTGCCAAAGCATGACGACTATTTTAAGAGCATAACTTCTTTCAATTATGGCCCTTTCCCATTGAGGGCACCCAAGAGGGACTCTTTACAGGTGAATATGCTCTTGGGATTAATAAGACGACCACAAGTACTGACTGAGAGGTCATGTCCCTCATGAACATCTGAGGATGTCTACTTCCTTTAAGGTTAGGCAACTGTAGGTTGATCGAGCCCTATAGTCCTCATCGCTTCACAAGATAGAATGAGATGAACCAAGGTTGTCATGTTCTTTATGACTTCACCTAGCATGGGTCCTGGTCAAATCATGTGTGAAGTCGGCGTGGGACTCATGCACATTGCTGGGTCAATCTTGTCGGTTCATCATTCCTAGCAACTGTCAAGAAATCTTCATGACCCACAGCTACTGCACTTGGTATCAGGAACATCAACGAGGATTCTTTTAGTGTCCCATTGATGGTATGTCTGACTTTAGATAAGACAAAAGTCATGGAACCTCTTGAACTCGCTTCAAAACAACATTCGAGAGAGTCTTGTCAAGTTGGGCACCTGGGTTGCGCTTTGTTAAAGGCTGAAACGTGATAAGCGCTAACCATCATCAAAGTGAGATTGTCCCAAAAGGGATGATTGAAGAGACTCGAGCCTCATTCTATCATCATCTTGATGATTTGCTGGTTCCTAAGTCGAAGTCCTGTGGTCATTCTCATCATTCCTGAGACTATGAGAAGATAAGAGGATCTAGTGCCCCATTTTAATAGTTGAAACCAAGAGAGATAGATCATGTAAAGGTCTGGCTGCTTCATCTAGTGGACCTCCATTTGAGCACAAGAGAGATAGAAGGGAAGGGGGGCCGAGCCCTCCTTTTGTTCGAGGAAGCTTGGTGACAAGAAAAACAGGGAAGGGAAATTCTCCCTCACTTACCAATCTGAAAGAAATAAGCAGGGCTCGTGATTCGAGCCATAGATCAAAGGATCAAGGGTTGAGCTTGGCTTGTGATATTGCCCCTTAGGCCAAAAAGGCCTTTATATCAGACATAATTTTGCAGAGGCACTGGAGTCTGCTAATCCAGACTCTCAAGGGAAAGGAAGTCAGACGACTCTTTTCCTTTAAAGGGGTCCTCCAAGAAGGCAAAGACTTCAAGCCGTCATGAAGAAGGTCAGGGGAACATCTGCTACTCCTCTGTCATCGACTGCTTTGGTCTTGGTCATTCCTAGAAGAATCACACAGAGCTTTGTGGCTAGAGCCACTCCTTCTAAGTCGGAGCTTCATCAAAAGCTGAAGGGTAGGAAATCCACAAAATCAGAGGTTATTGAGATAGGCTCTTTCTCCTCTCTAGACTCAGAGGTGCCTAAAGAAAATTTTCCAGTTATTGGCACGAAAATGGAGGGTTCGATTGATAGAGAAGAGGGGCTTATTGATGCCTTGAAAGGACTCGACCCTTCCCCAAGGCTAAGTGAAAGATCTTCTTCTTATCATAATAGAACATAAAGTCCTACCCCGGAGGTTGAACCTGCGTAGGATGAACTGCGGAAAGCAAAATGAAAAGCCCACATTGAGGAGAAGGATCCTCCGGTAGTTGACTCATCCACCGTAGTCGTTGTGTTGAAAGTGGGACCCTTAGCTACATCTTTACTCACCCAAGCCGATGGGAATGCAAGGCTTTCCATGGTCCATGGTATATTGGATAGACGCAAGTTCTCCTATGGTGATCCACCTAAGTTTGGACTTCCAGCTCCATCAGTCAAGTTTGACAGGACCAAACTTTCAGGTATTCATAACTCCTCGTGTTCTTTAGGAAGGACCTAATCGGTCCAATTTCTATTCCTTACTTTCCATGTGATTTCAGGTTCGATCTTCGCTCAGACCACGGACGGGGCTCTGATTCATGCTACTCGAGCCTCTCCTAATACCGTTATGCCACAAGGAGCTCAAAAGAATGATGTTGTTGCAACTGTAACGAGCACTAAAGTTGTGGCCTCTACAACTCACCTCTCGAGTATTGGGTCTGGAAAAGCCAAGATTGAAGTTCCCAATGTATCAAGCAGTGCTGAAGTCTCTGAGGTGCCGGAGCATGATCCCCTAGAGGACTTGGTTGCATTTGCTGAGAGTCCCAAGATCCTTGTAGAGTCGGTGCTCAAAGATCCTTCTTCAATTGGCAAAATTCATAGGCAGATAAGCGTCGGTAAGGTGAGGATTCTTTTTATAGCACTTAGGAACAACTCTCTATCCGACTTTCATGAGACTTCTTCGACAATCTCCCAAATGATATCATGGGCTGGGTCATTGAGAGCTGATGAAGAGAAGCTCTGACAGCTAGTTGACTGGGTTATTCAAGATGCCCAATTCATAGCTTTTGACTAAGAGAATATTGATCGCACATTTCTCGTCTTGATAAGTAAAGGGGTAGAAGCCTATGCCAGGCTCGAGAAAGCAGTCATGGCAACAATGCGAGGCTTGGAAGTCATTCAGGGCCTGATGCTGGCTATCCGCGATCAATATGATCGGGCTGAGGCTCGCAAAACTGTGATTCTAGACTTCACTGGAAAGACTGAGACCCTGTTGGTGGCACAAAAGAGGGAGCTTAAGAGGGCCGTGGCCTACTTGTACCATCTTTTTGAAGGGGTGGACAAATCATTCCTTGAGCTCGACAACTAGCTCCATCGATCAAATGTAGTGTCATCTGCAGTGCTTGTGGGCCTTGCACAGATGGAGGCTGGCATGGAGACAACCAAACAACATGATGAAAAGAAGACCTAAATGCTAAAGAAACTCCTGCACTGCTTCAAGAGCTTCTGAATCATCCTCAAATTTCTTTCTTTCTTTCTTTGAACTTTGTGGTTGTTGCAAAAGAACTATACCTCTTCTCATGTTGCTCGTTTTCTTTCTTTTTAACTTCTGGACTTGGTAGATACATCTGATGCTTTTAAGACCTTAAGAGAAGTTTTGCAGCATCTTACGAATTAGCACACATTCTTTGCATACTTCAACCATAAGTTTTCAGAAAGGCATGCCCAAGCTTCTCATATTCTTTCGTGAAGAGATATGAGTGTCCTGAAATTTCGTAGTTCTTAGACTTTCGAAACAAACACCGTAGTTTAGCATCATTCGCGAAGACCATATGAAAAGCCTTCTTAACCCGTTATAAAAAGGGTATGGGTGGACAATAAGAGTCTTAAAACTCCACGGAGTACTGCAGTACAGAGTCATACAAGAAGGACTGTCTAGAAAAGTCTTCCTAACCCTCTATAAAACGGGGTATGGGTGGTAAGCATAAAACTCCAAGGAGTATTGCAGTTTATAGTCATGCAGGAAGGACAATCTAGCGATGTTTTAGGGTTGTACACCGTGGACCTATTGATGGGTCTTTTAGGGTCTTGCATCTTGGACCTTTACTTGACTCAAATGATAGTCATGAGTAGGGACAATGTGGAAGATGTTATATAACATCAAGGTCTGGTCTTTAAAAAGAGACCAAATATGTGCCATATAGTTTAAAGTCCTATAGCTTGGACTGCTTTTCATCGAATGCAATCAACTCATTATGCCGGAGTTTGACTCATTCATTGTTTGTTAGCTCGTAATGGACTGCCACCCTCAAAGAGGGTATCTGAACTTCTAAAGGCAGCACCGCTTTTACCCCATAGACCACGAATATGGGGTTGCTGAGGTAGCATTCTTTCGCATCATTCGATAGGCCCAAAGTGCCTCAAGGAATCTTTCTTACCAATCACGCTGACCCTTCTTCATGGTCTTTTTCAATATCTTGCAAAGGCTTTTGTTAAAGGCTTCGTCTTGTTCATTTGCTCTTGGATTGTACATGGATGGGTACCTCCAGTCGATATTAAATTGACTAGTCAATTGGCGAATGTGATCATTCATGAATGAAGAGTTGTTATCAGATATAATCATATCCGATACCCCGAATCTATACACGATATGGTGACAAATAAAGTCAGCCACTATCTTACCAGTTACTCTCCATAGTGAAACAGCTTCGACCCACTTAGAGAAGTAGTTGGGGGCTGCCAATATATGTAAATGGCCATTGGCTGATGCTAGGGTAATGGGTCCCATAATATCCATTCCCCATTGAGAAAAGGGCCAAGCCATGAGAGTGGAATGCAACGGTTTCGATGCTTGGTGAATGTAGACAGCGTGTATTTGACACGTATGACATTTCTTTGCATATTTAAAAGCACCTTTCACCATAGTGGGCCAGAAATACCCCATCTGATGCAATTGATGGTATAACTTGGGCTTGGATTGGTGCATGCCACATACCCGTCATGCACCTCCTTTAATGCTGCTTGTCCTTCCTCATTCGAAAGGCATCTTAGCAACATTCCATCATGCGACCTTCTATAAGTTGGTCATTAAGAAGGGTGAATCTGGTGGCTCGCCTCTTAAGGGCTAGCCTTTCTTTCCTCACTTCAGTGAGTTGGCCATGGACCAAGTAATCCAAGAAGGTTAACGCTAATCTGGCGTGGGATCTTTTAACATTGCAACGGTATTATTAGGAACAAGTTCCTCCACTAATTTCCTCATAGCTCCTTGAGGGTATGGGGGAAACTTCGTTCATAGATTTTCTTCATTTTTAAAATTTGCCTTTTCCATCATAAGAATGGATTGCCACTCATGTATGGGGATCTAAAATGGTACCCTGGGCTCGATGATCATGGCAACTCCTAGCTTAGCTAGTGCATCGACTTGAACATTTGCTCCTCGGGGAATATGAGTTCGAGTGGACTCATAAATCTTCCCTAAGAGGTACCTTGTGTTATTATTTTACGGCTTGAGTTCATTCTTGCTGACCTCTTATATCCCCTTTAGTTGTTGGACAATCAGCTGGGAATCACCAAAGATAGTGAGGGATCCTAAGGCTAGTTATAGAGTCATGTCTAGACAGATAATCAATGCCTGGTATTTTGCCTCGTTATTTGAATACTTCTCATTCAATGAGAAAGCATAAGGCAAAAGTCCCTAATCCGATGTGATGAATATCACACCTACTCCGATGCCTTTTGTTTGCAACGCACCATCAAATAACATTTTCCATGAGACAAGCTTGTTTGCCCACATGACTTCCTCATCAAGCAGGTCTTCATTCAAAGGGGACCCTTCGGGCAATGGATGGGTGGCTAAGAAGTCAGCAAATGCTTGACCTTTGATAGATTTTTGTGGGACATAGGTTACGTCATACTCCATAAGGAGTAAAGTTCACTTAGCTAGTCGACCGGAGAGGACAGACGGATCTCCCACCTCTTTGCCTCCTAGACGTCACTTTCTTCGACCACGTGTCACCCTACAGATGCTTCATCATAAAAGCACCGCCATGTCGCATTAATCCCTGAGCAAACATGCTTTCCAAGTGACATTCCAAAAGTCCAAAACAAATTCCGGCCAAATACAAAACTCCTGCCAAAGGGCCAAAAACAAAATTCTGGCCCCAGTGCCGACAAATCTCCGGCCAAAAGGTCAACACAAAATTTAGGCTAAAGGGCCAAAAACAAAACTCTGGCCAAAGGGCCAAAAACAACACTCCAGCTAAAGGCCAAAAACAAAACTCCAGTTCTAGTGCCAACAATACTCTGGCCAAAAGGCCAAAAACAAAACTCCAGCTTCAATGTCGACAAATCTCCAGCCAAAGGGCCAAAACAAAATTTTGGACAAAAGGCCAAAACAAATTCTGGCCAAATGGGCAAAACCAAAACTCTGGCCCCAGTGCCGACAAATCTTCGGCCAAAGGCCCAAAACAAAAGCCCAGCCCCAGTACCGACAAAACTTCCAGCCAAAGAGCCAAAACAAAATTCCGACCAAAGGGCGGCCAAAACAAAATTTCGACCCCAATGCCAATAAATATTCCTGCCAAACGGCCAAAAACAAGACTTCGGCCAAACGACCAAAAGCAACCCTCCGGCCAAAGGGACAAAAAACATTTTATTTTATTACCAACTAGATTGGGACCAACACCCACAAAAGGGCACCCACTAGCTGAGCCATCAGCAAATTCCGCTGATATGGAATGATAAGCCTTCCACAAGGCAACCTATTAATCAGCTCTCCCCAAAAAAACAAACAAACTCCATCAAGACTTGGAGAAACCCCCAAGCGTGACCCCAGTCCCCTAGAGACCACTTTGGTTATCCCTCAGGGAAAAGCTCAAAAAGATCTACCCTGCAAGGATTGTGGTTACGCCGGTGACCAAGAAGAAAACATATGTTGAGAGGAAATAAATATGTCTTAGTGATGATTCAAAAGATGAACTTCGACGATAACAATTTTCATTCCAAATGTTGCACTTCTCACTTCTCTCGAAGCGTAACATCCGCAGGGGCAAGTTGTTATACGTCATCTTTTATGTACTTAGATCTCCCACATGAATAAGGAGAGAGTCGACAATAACTTGGTCATTCTGGTACTCAAGACATTGAGAGACCAAAGTTGTGCCATGAAATAAGTCTCGAACTAGGCAACTTGGGAGCAAGGCTATCATACCTAGGAGAGATATTACAATTGTATCCCTATCTTAGCGGCTTTCAAACAGTACCAAACCACTAACATCGCACTCACAATGTCAAAGAACCCTCGAGGACCAAATTTGGGCTCAATCAAACCACCTAAAAGGGGTCTACGCCCATACGACCTCAAGACAGGTAGGTTTTACACTATAGCGATGTTGCTTCACTAAACCAGTCCCCAAGCATGGATACTGCAACATCACATCTCAAGATGGACTTCAAGAACCCATAGTACCTTCACCTAGAACCAGAAAAAGTTCAGAATTTGACATGTTCTAGATCAGATCAGACCCATCATTTTGACCAAGGGCATGCACTGTGGCGCGACCCAAAGTCAAACTTCTTCTAGAACAAGGTGACCATAAAACGAAAAAATTTAGGATTTTAAGAAAAAGACATCTTGAACCTCGTAAAGCACTGCTTGAAATTTCGCACAAAAAATCATTACGAAGATGAGTTGAATACAACCACCTCACAAAGAGCTACAAACGGGTATAACTATTGTACCTGATCCAAGGCCTAATAAGTACAAATCCCCAGCTTACTAGAAAAGCAAGCCCACTCGGTCGCCAGAATCCCTTCTCTCATTGACTTCCTTGGTCAGGAGCCTCGACCTCGCCCTTTGGATCTGGATTATCTGGCGGTACATATCTCGAGTTTCTAACGAACTCGAAATTTGAGATCGCTCTTCCGAAACTTTGCTCGAGAGTAAGGGCAGGTGTACCAACCGATGAGAGAGGAATTGAAGTTGGGTTTGGGACTTACTCAGGCTGGCTTACGTGGGTGCCCTCTTAGATCATGAAGAAAGCTCCCCAGCTGCTTTAGCTGGTTCGAAATTGCCTCACTTGACCTACAATCCACATGTTTTCTACACAACACTTCTATGGTTAATTTGTAAGACAAGTGGGTCAAAAAGACCCACCCTTGTCTTAGGACAACGTATGTTCATGCAAGAGGGTGATGATGCGTAAGGTTTAAATAAAGATAGAAAAGAGAAGAAAACTTGACGAAGAGACGAGACTAGCATGACAACTGGGAAGTTCTCAAATCGAAGTGGTAGCAAGACGGACATGGTTCTCAAGACCAGCATGGCGGCAATACTACTCGAAACCGAGACCGATATGATGGTGCTAGGCTAAGTATACCCTCAGTCAAGTAAAAGGAGACAAGAGAATGAAAAGAAGAGACGAGACGGTAAAGAGATGAGGTCTCGACGGGGTTAGGCGTTACCGCTCAAGGCCATGGAGTAATAGTGTCGTGGCCCTTGGGCGGCGCTCGACACTACTACTCATGCTTAGAGAGTGAGAAATGAACTACGAACGACACTAGGCATCACCGTTGGCAACATAAGAAAACAAGATGCCCTTGCGAAGGCGGAAATAGTTTCTGATGAAGTGCATGGCGATGGTCATTCGTGAATTGTGCGGTGGTAATCCTCATGAAGCGCATGGTGATAGGCGTGGGACGTAGGAAGGATGGCGATGAACACTGAACACGGGAAGGAAGCATGCAGACAGTGGTGGACGTTGTCAAGGCCTATAACGAGCGGTGATGGGTATCGTCGTTTGCTATAGACGCGCAACAGGGAATGACCCCTACGAGTGACAATGAGTTTCATCGTCTGGGTTCTTCACTAAGACGCCCAAGCTACGTCTATGGACGACGATGGGCATCGCCGTCTATAGGCCCCACTGGACGAAAGAGAAAGAAGAAAAGAAGGAGAAGGAGACTCGCGCATGGTGCTGCCATCACCATGCGCAACCTGTGTGACCTTAGGGGAGGCATGCACGGCACTGCCAATGCCGTGCATGACCCCTGCGAGGAGCTAAGCTGGGGAAGAGGGAGAAGAGAGGAAAGAAGAGAGAGAGAAGAAGAAAAATAAAAGAAGAGAGAGAAGATTTACCTCAAACCTAAGGTTATCGGTCAAACATTTTTTCTCACCTCACTCTATTTCTCAAACGTGACCCAACAATGAGAAGAAAGAGAAACTTATATTAAGTAAAAACTCTCTCTTTTGTGAAAGGTTGAGTCCTCTGGTGCGTATAATGCCAGTACATATATATAGAATTTGCCCCAAACATGGTTGGATGATCAAAAGTAACCCTAATTGCCGAAAATTAAGATTAAATTGAATTAAAATAAATTAGAAAATAGGGTGAAAATGATAAATTTGCCCCTTCCTAACAATTCACGGAATTTCAGAATAGTCCCTATGTTGCCCTAAAACTTGTGTGATCTTACATGGCTGATCCGAGGTTGTTCGGATGCCTGGTTGATTGTAAGATGATTGTTTTCTTGTAGGGCTCGACATGGTGATCGATTTGATACCAACTTTGAACCATGGATCATATTTTTAGTGCACGATCATGTGACTTGAAATTTGAATGGATGTTTAAATTTGGGATCGATAGTGTACTCATTCTTTGATGTTTTCGATGATTTCTTTGCTGAATTACACTGAGCACGCCATTACGATCGCGGGGCAACAAACTCAGCTCGATTCTGTGTCCTAACAAAGATTTTACAACTTCATAATTTTGAACGGAATCTGGAGTTCCACGACAG